CATATGGAAAAAAAATATTCCAAATGGAATGTTCAATTTCTTTCAGAGTGGTGCTAAGTTTAGGATAAACACCGTTCGAATAGGAATTAATTAGACAGATCACTCGCAATGTGTATTTTAATGATAGTTTAAAAATTTGTCAAATAAAATTAGTGATAGTTATATGTGTTTCTATAAACATTAGACGATGTTGTCAAATTAGACATATCGTGGTCGTATGTGGACGCTATCCTTAGTCATGGGCTTTTATCTGGTGGAAGATACCATAATGCGGAAACGGAGTGGAGAATCAATGGTGATCATATTGAAGGCGTGTCATCAACTGGTAGAAAACTCAGCAGATACCAGATAATATCCGCCAAATTATCTTACGCTGTCATTACCGCCGAGTCGTTCATTGTTATCGCCTGTGGTACATGGTATCTTTTTATAAATTTATGCAGAGATGTCCTCTTTAGAAGGATTGATACTTTGTATTATTTAAGGGAAAAGTGCTTTCTCGCTGGTTTCCAAAAACTTACACTTATGTATGATAACGAAATTTGTAATTTGGTCGTAAGTCTATCTTCACTGGGTTGGACTGCCAGGCCAAACTGACCAATAATGACCAATTGAGAGGTTCATCACCACGCAGGCCAAAAGGAGCTATCTCACGATTAAACCTGATTATTGTTAAACGTTTTAATTTTTATGCTGTGCTTATGAATAACAAGTAAATAAATAAACCATCATGTAGCATTAAAAGTTATTGTAATATTATCTTTTATATTTATTTTATTTTCGTTAGTTTCAATTGCAAAAAATTCATATTACATGACTGCTCCTCCTCCTCATCTGATACGCTGTTTAACAATTTCATTTTGTTTTTGTTAATATATTGCCAATTTCAGGAGGAAATCGTGGAAGAATGGAAGCATAAATGTTTGAGGGTTTGCTGGTCCCCTGTGGGACATTATCGAGCGGCTCATTGGAGAGCAACTCTTTTGTAGGTGAGTTTCTAGTACATACTTTAAAAGCCAGCAATGCTGCTAAAAATGCACGATTGCTGATAAAAAGAAACTGCTGTTTTTTTTTATTTTTATTTCCCCTCTTAACTTGGTTCTTTTAAAATGAAATTCGACAATGTAAACGTGGTGGCATTTATTGAATTAATTTTCGTGTATGTATTTTTTAAAGAAATGTATTTATTAATTAATTAAATGTCGGTTATTATTTGCATATATAACAGTTCATACAGTAATTTATTGTGGGTAAGGAAATCCAGGTGATATTGCTAAATTGCAATTAACCTAGTGTTTTTTTAACGTGTGAAACTTGATCTTCAAGTTTGTGAGTTGCACACTTTGTTTTTTGTTTTTTAATTTCCCCTCTTAGCTTGGTTCTTTTAAAATGAAATTCGACAATGTAAACGTGGTCGCATTTTAACATTTATTGAATTAATTTGGTGTATGTCTTTTTTTTTAAGAAATGTATTGATTAATTAATTAAATTTCGGTTATTATTTGCATATATGACAGTTCATACAGTAATTTAATGTGGGTAAGGAAATCCAGGTGATATTGCTAAATTGCAATTAAACAAGAGCTTTTTTAACGAGTGAAACTTGATCTTCAAGTTTGTGAGTTGCACACTTTGTTTTGTTTTTTTAAATTTCCCCTCTTAACTTGGTTCTTTTAAAATGAAATTCGACAATGTAAACGTGGTGGCATTTTAACATTTATTGAATTAATTTGGTGTATGTCTTTTTTTTAAAGAAATGTATTGATTAATTAATTAAATTTCGGTTATTATTTGCATATATGACAGTTCATACAGTAATTTAATGTGGGTAAGGAAATCCAGGTGATATTGCTAAATTGCAATTAAACAAGAGCTTTTTTAACGAGTGAAACTTGATCTTCAAGTTTGTGAGTTGCACACTTTGTTTTGTTTTTTTAAATTTCCCCTCTTAACTTGGTTCTTTTAAAATGAAATTCGACAATGTAAACGTGGTGGCATTTTAACATTTATTGAGTTAATTTGGTGTATGTCTTTTTTTTAAAGAAATGTATTGATTAATTAATTAAATTTCGGTTATTATTTGCATATATGACAGTTCATACAGTAATTTAATGTGGGTAAGGAAATCCAGGTGATATTGCTAAATTGCAATTAAACAAGAGCTTTTTTAACGAGTGAAACTTGATCTTCAAGTTTGTGAGTTGCACACTTTGTTTTGTTTTTTTAAATTTCCCCTCTTAACTTGGTTCTTTTAAAATGAAATTCGACAATGTAAACGTGGTGGCATTTTAACATTTATTGAGTTATTTTGGTGGTGTTATTTTATTTTTTTTGTTGAGAAATGTATTGATTAATTAATTAAATTTCGGTTATTGTTGCATATATGACAGTTCATACAGTAATTTATTGTGGGTAAGGAAAACCAGGTGATATTGCTAAATTGCAATTAACCTAGAGTTTTTTAACGAGTTAAACTTGATCTTCAAGTTCGTGAAGTTGCACGCTTTACACACGGATCACGAAGGTCCTTTGCTACTTTAGAAGTTGGAGTTGCAAATGTTTGATAAAAGCAAAAATAAAATGTCAAAGATAATGGCTCGGAAATTTCCCACTATTCCATTATAGAAAAAAATTAAATGATTTCATTACAAAATGTAAAGCAATTATCCAATAAAGTTAACAGTTTAATTGAAAATTCCTTGCCGAACAATGTAATATTCAACCCGATGCATTTTAAAGTCGGGAGTCAATCTCCTTTAAAAGCAATTTATCTTTATTTGATGCACGCGAGCGTTGTTTGAAAGACGTTTTGGGATATAAATGTGTCGACAGATCTGATTCAGGATATTCTGAGGATCAACGGGTTTCTTGCTGTTTCTGAGCATTAAGCACTAATATAGATAAATTAAAGACAAACTGGTAAATTTAAACTCGTATATCAAATAGTTAAAATTTACATTATGTAAAAGGTTCAAAAAAGGATGATAAGCCATAATTTGTTATGTGTTCAAATATTTAAACATATTTCTGTATCTAAAATGCAATTTGCTGCAATTTTGAGCTTACATTACATACAGCTTTTACATAACTTAATTCAGTTATTAAACTCCGTTTCTATTTTGTTTCCTCAGACAAAATAAAATTCAAAATTGTATATTCTCTATCACTGCATCCAACTGATCACACAAAACTTCTCATTCTCAATTGTAAAAAGAATAATAAATAATTGAAGTTATAAATAAATATTATAATCGAATAAAAATGTTGGTAAAATTGTTTCTTAAAATATTTAAAAATAATTTAATAACCCAATGTTGCCATTTTTGGCAGGTGAAAAAATGGTTTAATTATGTTGTTTCATTAACAAGAACTACAATTTTCAGTTCGATTTCAAAGAATATGTTCTGAAACTGCCCTGGACTAAGATGTTAAACAATTTATTAAAACTATTGTTCACTTATTTTACAAATGCTAAGAACGAACTGATTGAACAGTACATGGCAATATTGCGGTTGACAGAAGTCTGTACTGGAACTTAGGAATTAAAAATAAGTTAAATGTTACCTATTAACATCACGTTGTTAGTGTTTAATGTTGTTTTATTACAATTTAATTTTTTAAAAATTTCAAACCGCTAATTATATTTTCTTTTAACGCGGATTTAAGGGGGTAGCAACCGATTTTCGGGGAGGGGGTGATTTTTTCTATACCCTTTTTTAACCCCTTCTCCATGTATTTTAATTTTTAAATGCAATTCATTTTTAAGAGAGTTGTTACTTCTGCTTAAGAATTAAACTATAAAATTTTACTTATTTTAGCTATTCGAGGGCATTTATTTATTGATAGAGAGGCCAAAAAGTTGTTATTTTTCGGTAACATTTTCTCGAAATGTATTCGGTATATTATAACCAAGGGTTTTCCAAAAAATAACAATTCGTTAATTTTTGGCAACAGTCTAAATTTGTGACAAAATTTTACACTTTTTTTTTCTTTTTACATCGAAATACATTTTTACATTCCTTGATGTTTTTCTTAAATATTGTGAGCTACGATTATTAGTCAATTATTACTTGCAAGATGAAGAAAGATCGGTTAAATATAATGAAAAGGAATGGAAAGGAAAGGTAGGAACTTTTCCAAAGAAGCGAGTTTCTCTTAAAAAAGAGGTGTTCAAAGCCATTAAGAAACTTTACACACCGATCATACTCATCTTGTATGAGGTAGTTGACAGACTAAATTTTAGATTGAAAGGTATTTTTTTGACACAGATTTGCATAAAAGAAGAGAATTTTCCAACAACGTGAAGCATGGCGAGTTACACGTTTCAGACAAGGTAGATCAGAACGCTCGATTCACAACTTTCAGAAAATTATTTGAAGCACTTTTAAAGCTCGGAATCTCATCGGACCAGTTTCATTCTGTACAAACAAGGTTTTAGTTATAAAATTGATCCAACCTGAAAAAACTTTTTTTACATTTTTAAAAATTCTATCATACTAATATAGAAAATAAATAGTGAATGTACGTTAAATAATCAATTCATCAAAATACTGTAAACTGTTTTTCGATATGCTATGAATAAGAAAATAGGTTGGGACATATACAAAAATAGAGTTCAGTAAAATTATAAACAGTTCAAGAAAGGAAAAGGTAGAACCGTAAATATATATTTTGAATTTTAATTGTAATAAAAAATAAGTAAACCCGTTGATAAATATACTTTTGATATAATTTAAGTTGTCAAGTATATCTAAAAAATATAAGAAATAACCTGTGGAATTTTTTTCAGCCACTATTAGTCAAATTAAAAACGGACTCACTTTCCAAATCCTATGTGCGTCAGAGTTTCTTACTTGCGATCTTCCGATTCTCGTATAGGCGAGATTATTTTTAGACTCCTGATTATTTTCGAGCAATCAGTCTTTATTTTCGTTCGCTAAAATTCCTTCGACTCTCTGATTAATATAATTGAATGTGAAAATTGAAATTTTTAAACTTACCGAATATTTCACCTTGACTAGCATACTCCGAAACTATGTAGATCATGTTTTTCGTCTCCATGACCTGAAAATAAAAGAAAAAACACATTGCTTACGATTCAGTTCGAAATCATTTTTAAATCAGTACAAGTTATTTATATCATTGTAAAGTTTGCAGTACATGTCATACCGGCTAGTTAATTTTAAACGATACAACAATTTAACTGTTTTCCGTTCACTTGAAGCGCACCCCAAGAACTGTCTTACATCTAAAGAGATCCTTTGTTGCCGAAGAACAATGTTCCTTTGTTAAGGAGAACAAAAGCAACATTTCATTCAAACATCCTCTCGTTAAGTAAAAATATATATTGTACCGACTTTAAATAAAAGGGAAAAAATTATAATAACAAATCTTAGCCTTTTTAGAAGTTTCTATTTTTTTTAAATTGAAATACAGACTGGAAAACCGAAAATGTCCACAACTTGATCACATATGACCTTTGGGTATAGGTGTTTCTCTTTACTGAGACGCATTTTGGCTTCAAGTCAACACGATTCGACACAGCCCCTGAATATTTTATAAGGCAGTACCTAATGGATGGCTAGTAGTTCATGGATGATGGTTCCGCTCGGTCCCGGTGGTGTAGGAGCTTACATGAATTGGAAATTAGTTGGTTTATTTATTGAAAATTTCGACTGATTTATTGACAGGAAGTCTGTTGTGTTTCTTATAAATAAAACTACAAACAGGTTCACATTTTTTTAAACATTTAAAATGGGCAAATTTGTACATAATAAGTTATTTAACACAAGTAAGTCATGTCTAACCTAGCGTCTGTCTCCCCCTAGATTTCCTTAGCTGAACGTATCCTCTCCGCTAATCAAAGCTCAATAGGAAAACGTACTTCTATCATTCTAAAGGATTCATTATTTCAAACGAATGAATCAGGATTAAGATCGTTTATAACGTTCAGCATCCATTATGTATTTCCTTTTTCAGGAAGCCTTTGTGGATTTGAAGCAACGGGCTGTAAAAAGCTTAAAATTTGAACATATATATTAAATTTGAAATTGATAAATCCGAGCTTTTTGAGAACGGACAAATTAACACTGAAAGCTCTAGTGTTTCAGGGTTCAATAAATCCCAAACACATAATATAACTTCTTTTTTCTAAATTATGAATATTTAATTTTGGATGTACTAACAGACGCACAGTAATATTACATTTAAACGAACATCAAACATAGCATTAAACTCATAAAAACAAACCCAAAGGTCAAAAGTTCTTCAGAACATAAAACAAAAACTACTGCGAACTATATTCGAGGAATTTTTTTCAAATTGCACTGTTGACATTACCCAAGTACATCATCTCTGATACAATTAGCGATCAAATTTCAAAATTATGTTGTATACTAGTTTTTAAAAATAAACATTTATGAAAACATGGACGATTTTTTTTTTGGGAAACATAAGCTTGAACAGTTTTGTAATGACTCTTAACGTCTATAATGACCAGTTGGAAGCTTGATATTCTACACTGATTGAATAATAAATTTTGAATAAATTATTTATAATCATAATTTCTTATTTTATATTTCTTTTCATTTATTCTAAACTCTTTACACTCCCGGCAAAAATGTTTAAAGCCAATTTTTTATTTGTACAAATATTAGTATAATAAAAATAAATAACTAAACAAGTAACATTATAATAAATCCGTCGCCATTACACGAATTTGAAAAATGGCAAAAAGAAGGGAAAATTCAAAAGGTAGGGTTGAAATGGGAAGTTAGTGTCCGAGTGGATCGAAGTCACGACAGCTCAAGTGGTCGAGTAGCGGCTATCTAGCCGAAGGTCGTGGGTTCGAATCCCGCTCGTGACACTGACTTTTTATCTCAACTAAAAACCTTAATTAATTGAAAGATATTAATTGGTCAAGCGGGCAACGAAACTAGTGAAATTGTAATAAATGATGATTTATGATTTGCTCTCCCTGATCTGAAAGCTTAATTGCAACATACAACAGTATTATATATTAGAATAACAAAATGTATACATGTAAAATTTCAATTTTATAACACGTAAAGTTTACTACATATTCTATATTACTGACCTAAAAATAAATGTATCTGAAAAAGAGTCAATCATATAATATTGTCTGTAAGGTTTTAAATTTGGAAATGAATAAAATCCCAAAGGTATGAAAGGAAAAACACGAAATTGTTGGGTCCGCTCATTCTCGCACAGTATTTCTGATGAAATTTATTTATGATTAATATGAATTCATTCAACAATGTTAATTGATAAGCATGTACCGGTATCACTTTATAATGATGAATAAAAAATATGTCTAGCCTTGTAGTGTCGTTTCATGGTAAGCCGTAGTTATAATTATCTTCAATAATTTATTTTTAACTATTAAAAATTATCGAGATTGAAAAAGAAGAGAAATTTCTGGTATGGATTTGTGGGCAGGGCAAATAACCGATCATTTTTTCTCTCTATCCATCCACGCTGTAGTCTGTTCTACGCCTATGTTTCGGCATTTCGCCATCTTCAGCGTTGGGTCTGTGTGATTTTTTGTGAAGTCAAGTCTTTTTACAAGATCATGAGGGTGGGGTAGGTTTGGAGGCGTTTGTCTTTATTTACCAGCCTTTGGCCTATTAAGTGCTGTTTTTTTATTGTTCCGGTAGGTATTTGTGATCGCTGGTCCGTTTTTTATGTTATGTAGTGTTTTGAAGTAAAGACTGTTGTTATTGAATTTTTAGTGTTAAGTGTGTTGTTTTTATTTTTACAATTTTTTTCGTCTTTTTTATTTATTTCGCAGGTTTTCTATAGTGCCCGTGAACTTCAGTGGAGGTTTTAATATTTGTTAAATAGATCTTTCAGTTTGTAGATTTCTTTCCATATTTATGCGAATGTAGTCTATTCAGTGCCTGTGTTTTGTGATGTTTGCAGGATATTTTCATGTCAAGTCGTAGTAAAAATTACTTGCAGTGATTTAATTTAAAAAATTAAAAGTGATTGAAAAAGGGTAAAGTTTATATTTGTGGGATGCTTAAAGAATTGTTTCTTATAGGTGGCGTTGATTAATTATTTTTTCTAATCCCACTAAGATATATTTTAAAATGTGTTTTAAGCTGTGTAAATGTACGGATATTTATTTCTTTTTAACAAAATTTACGATTTATTGTTGTGTATATATCGTTCAATTAATTAAAGTTTCTAGTTGAGATAAAAAGTCAGTGCCACGAGCGGGATTCGAACCCACGATCTTCGGCTAGATACGCCGTTGCTCTACCACTTGAGCTATCGTGACTTCGATCCACTGGGACACTAACCTCCCATCTCAACCCCGGGTCAGATCCCCCAAAAAGTCCCCCCACGGAGAGCTTTAGTGAAAAAGCAAAAAAAATTAAAAGTTGAAAAATGGCAAAAAGGAAAGCATATTCAAAAAGGTGGGGTTGAGATGGGAAGTTAGTGTCCGAGGGGATAGAGGTCACGATAGCTCAACTGGTAGAGCAGCGGCGTATTTAACCGAAGATCGTGGGTTCGAATGCCGCTCGTGACACTGACTTTTTTATCTCAATTAAAAACCTTAATTAATTGAAAGATATCAATTGGTCAAGCGGACCACGAAACTAGTGAAATTAGTAGTGTATATATTTTATTAAATGAGATTTTTTTTTAAATTATCCAAACATTTCACAAAAAACCCTTAACAATTCGTTTACAGACTTAATAATTTGGTAAGAACCCTTTAACGAATTTCATCTCATGGTATTCGTCTTAAAAGGAAAGGAATTTTAATGACAATCAGGGAATAATACTCTTGCTTTGGCGTATTTTACGTGAACTAGTTCAAGTCTAGAAGGGTTGAAATAAAACAATATGATGCCGTAGGCTTTCTTCATAAGATATTCGAGTAAAATAAGGAATGCATTTTATAATTACGGTAAAGACTTGTGTATTACATGTAGAAATTTTTATTACTACTATGTTAATTTTGTTTACATGCGAGAACAGTTTAAATGAATTGAAATTATGTAGTGAGAATGAAATTAGAATACATGAACGTTCTAAGAAACGAATTCTTTTTCATGAGCACACGCTTTTACCATATGATCTTTAGATGAACTCACGAGCTTTTCAGAGCAGAATTGAAATAAGATCGTTATCTGACCAGCAATAACGATGTACAAGCATAAAACAATGAGTGATTAGCATATGATGAATCTCGCTTCATGTATCGCGTGCCTGTTAACTTTACAGTTTTCGACGGCTTCAAACGAAAATTGCAAAATGTTTAATTTATCTGTAAAGTAACTAACTGTTCGTTACGGTCCGGATAGGGAATAATTGCAAAGCCACACCGGACCAAACACTCGAGATGGATTAGTTCATAAAGCTTGACCCTGGAAAGCTTTTCTCTCCTTATTGCCCCCGACCGATAAGCTCCGACGTAATAAGATAACCTACGGCTTGCTTTCGTTTTATTATTTTCGAACTATTAAAAACGCTTCGACTCAAATGCCTTTACTCATTAAAACTATTTTTACTACATTTAAAGTCATCTACAAAAATGGGTAATAGCCCGAATGATTACAAATAAACATATAATTTTACCAACAAACACGACTAATCTAAACACTGTTGTTTGAGTAAAATTTTCAAATATACTCATAAATAAAAGGTTCGTTAATAAAATTGTATATCAGGCTTTATACATTTTTCATTCCTTTGGCTATTTTGGCTAAATATGCCGTTGCACTTCTTGTGAAACTGATTACAATTAATTTAAAAAATTCTTAGGCATTTCTTTTACAATTTAAACATGTCTGTATAATTGGGTTTAAAGTTTAAACTTTAAGTAAGTTTAAAATTTCTTTCTGCTTTTTCTACAACTTTTTATCGAATTTTAAACGTCTGTCATAAAATTTCATACTCAATTTGTCAATATTAATTGTACATAACACATACTGAAAGACACATAATATTAAATAACTTATTTAATTATTAGATTTTTTTATTTTGCCATCTGTTAGATTTCTCTTCGTAACCTACCTGAATTTTTATGATTT